GTTGTCCCCCCAAGCCCCGGCGCACGGCGCATCGCCGCCGGACGAGCTCGCGCGGGGATTTTGGCCGGCGGGATGGAGGCTCTCACCTGCCGGCCGCCTGGCCCAGCAGCCCTGCCCAGCGCTGCTCCAGGCTCTCCAGCTGCCCGATGATCTTCTCCCGATCCGCCGGCTCGGCCGACTGCGCGATCCGGCCGCCCTCCGCTTTCGCCCTCCGCTTGGATCATCTCAACGGTGGCTTTGCGATCTTCCAGGAGGCGCTGGAGGAGCTTTAGCGTCAGCGGTGAGAAAAAAAAAAAGGATCAAAGTCACCAGATTGGGTCAGCAGAACCTCTTCTAACCCTCGGGGAGGTCAAATCTCTAATTGTGGCTGAAAACCACCCCAAGCACGGGGCTGAGACCAAAGGCAGCCCAGCAGGACAGCCTCTGCCATCCAAACCAGTTCCAAAAAACTTAATAATAATATAATAACGTGCTTTAACTTTTGGTCAGCCCTGAAGCGGTCAGGCAGTCGGACTAGATGTAGGTCCCTTCCAACTGGAATATTCTAAAAGAGATTCAAAGCCCTTCTGTGCCAGAGAAGCTCTCAGAGGCTTCCCCATCACCCTCCCCAAACTTATCAAGTGTTTAACTTTCACTTTAAATAAATTTCCTCTTCAAAGTCCCGACCCATCGGACCAAGCCTCGGTCAGAACTCATTTCTAGAACGTTTTACCACGACCACATCTGAACTTCCACCCACCCGCTCACACGGGCAGGCGCCGGCCGGGCTGTTATCTCTGCAAACAGCGGCACGCCTGGGTCGGTTCTGACGGTTTGCACATTCCTTTTGTCCAAATAACCCCAACCGGTACCTACACCGCCGGCTTGCTCCTGACGCAGCAGAATTACAGCACAAACAAAACCTCAGGCTGGAAAAACACGGCCGACCAGCAAAACCAGCAGCAAACTTCAAGAGGCAATGGGACAAGAAAGTCACGCTGGGGATTTAGGTGATGGAGACGGTGCGAGTGGGCAAACGAGCCGCATGGTTATTACATGAGGATGTGGGGAACCAGCAGATCCACCGGGAACGCAGGAAGCTTGGGGACACCCCAGCTGCACCTCATCTGCTGTAGCTGGGCCCCCAAAGTATCTTCTGGCTGTCCAGAGCCTCCCCTCCCAGCAACCCAACCGCTGCCCGGGGTTTGCTCACTTTCTGCTCCTGGATCTGGGCTTTCACCACCTTGTACTCGGCCGAGGGAGGTTTCTGGTTGGAGATGAGCTCCTCGGTGTCGGCCAGCCAGCTCAGCAGCGGCTCCAGGGCGTCCTGGAACTTCCCGCAGTGCAACAGAGCCTCTTGCAGCTGAGCAACCCTTTGGGCCACCTGCACCCCAAACACAGCCCCACAGTCAGGCTGGTGACGCACCGACACCGGAGCCCCCGGCTGTGACCCCCTGCTTCCACCAGACCCCAACGGGATCTGATGGAAGATCAAGAGAAACTCAAGATCAAGATGGATTTTCAAGAGAAACCAGTTCCAGCCCCTCCCCGCGCTCTGACCTTCTTGTTGAGGGTGTTCCAGCGCGTGTTGATCTCTTCCATGTCATGCTCCAGCCCTTGGACGTCACAGTTTTTCCCGGCGCTTTGGATGAGTCCTTGACCGACTCCATTGACTTGTTGCAGTTTTAACTGGAGAGGATCCACTTGCTCCTTCTGGAACAACTGGTGATGGGAAAGGAGGAAAGAAAAGGTGTTTATAACCCGCGAGCTGCTCTTCCAGCCCCTCCATCACCCAACAGACGCAACAGGCTTTCTTCTCCAGAGAAGAGACAGCAGCTACCGCCTCGACCCGGTAACACAGATGTTGCAGGTGTTCGCTGGTGCGGAGCACAGCTCAGCATCCCTATGAGTCCATCTCCACTCTTAAACGGGTAAATCCCCTTCTTCCAACCACTGGAGTGGGGTAGAGAGAGCAAACTGGGGAAGAAATGAGAGTACTGGCGCTGGTCAGCCATCAGATTGGGAAACAACGCTCCTGGGGAAAAACCCGAAGCGATTCTCACCATGATGCCGTTGAGAACAGGGACCTGGCATCACCCGAGGTTTGTTAACCACAAAATTACAGGCACTGAGAAGCCAGGGCTGGATTTCGAAAGACAAAGGCAAGAGGCAATTCACGCACTAGTCATTCACTGTGCCGCGTATTTGGCACGGTCCTGCCTGGGAATCCTGCCGGGAAAAGCTTTTTAAACCAAAAAAAGATGCGATAGGGAAGGGGGAGGAGAGCGAATGAAGCTCCCCATTGTACGGAGAGGCAGCAGGGACCAGCCGGGAGATAAGGGCTCTTTATCGGAGCTGGGGATCTGCTGTAGCCACCCGGCGCGGCCGCCCGTGCACGGTCCCTCTCCGGTCCTCAGGGACCAGCCCGCTGCTTCCCATCGCGAACAGAACCAGCCTCCGGAAAGGGAGCGGGGCTCTCCATCGCTTTGCCTGGTCCCTCAGACCAGGACCCATCCCAAGCACAGGATCCGGCAGGATCAGCCCTCGGCCCCCTTGCATCATTTTCTCTTTTGGGAAGCCGTGGCGATGGCAGCCAGGTGCTGATTGCTTTCTCAAGCGTGCCTCCTCCTCCTCACATGCCTGAGAATATACGGACGTTAACGGCATCAAAAAATTCCCAGTTGGATGCAAGACCTCCCCTAACAGAGTAGCGGCTGGGGGTGGCACAGCTCTCCGGACCCACCGTCACTTTGCCTCCGAAGGCAGGGAAAAAACCCCCAAACACATGAAAAAACCCCAAACACACACCCAACCCCCCAAACACACACCCCAAAATTTCCCTGCCCTTGCAAGAGGGGCTGCCGTGACTTTCTTTGCCCCATTTTCAACTAAAAATCTATTTTTTCCCATTGGAGCTCAGCTACCCGAGGGCAGGGCGGTATCGCTGCAGGACGCCCAGCGAAGGGTGTGCTGGCAGACGCTGTCCAGAGCTGGTTGCTCAGGGGGGGAATTATGCTGCACTTACAAGAAATAAATGGTGACATGCAATCCCCCATCCCCCTGGCCGCCTCTCCCGTTACTGTTTATATATGGAGCTGGCTGCTCGAGCCGCCAAACCCACAAAAGGAGCAGGCTGATAAGTCTGGCACGCCGGGCTGGGTCCGAGCCCTCCGCAAAAACAAACTCCAGGGCTTGGAAACAGCCGGGAGGGAGGGAGGGAGCGCGGCAGAAAGCCCGGCATCAGACCCTGGATACCTGCAACACAGGAATTGGTACAGCCCGAGAATCGTTACAAAGATAATTACATTAATGGCCCGAGGAGTGGGCACGTCCAACGCGCTTATTTTTCTCTGCTCGTGAAATATTGCAGCGATTTGGTTCATTAACCTCGCTGTGACTCAGCTTTGAAACAAATATTGACCGTACACCCTCGGCTGGGCAGGGAAGGGCACAGAGCAAGGCTGGACAGATGTCTCGGTGAGGAGGGCTGCTCCAGCACACCTCCTCCTCCTCGCTCCCAGAAACCTTCCCAAAGCATCCCCTGGCTTTCTGCTTCCCTCATCTGGGCGGCCACGCTCCTTAAGCCCAGGGCTGCTGAAGGCAGAGCTCAGCCTTGTGCTGGGAGAGCCGGCATCACTCCAGCATCATCCCAGCATCACCCCAGCCTCGTCCCAGCATTGCCCCGGCATCACCCCAGTATCACCCCAGCTTTGTCCCAGCATCACCTTGGCATCACCGCCCTGGTATCATCCCAGCATCGTCCCAGTATCACCCCAGCCTCGTCCCAGCATCGCCCCAGCTTTGTCCCAGCATCACCTTGGCATCATCCCAGCATCACCCCAGTATCACCCTGGTATCATCCCAGCATCATCCCAGTATCATCCTGGCATCATCCCAGCATCACCCTGGCATCATCCCAGCATCACCCCAGCATCGCCCTGGAGCTGCCAATGCCTCGAACAACATTTGAGCAAGGAAAAGATTTTTGGGATTAACAACCAGAGATGCTACACGGAAATTAATGGTCCCACCATGACACACCGATACCAAAACAGCGAATTTCAGACAACGGCAAGAACCCAACAGCTCTTCTTCCTCGCTGAGGTCCGCACCGGGTGCCCCAGCCCCGCTCACGTGGACCCCCCCCATGTGAGAGCATCTCTCTGAGCCCCTCCGCCGGCATTTCTGAAATCAGTGGCAGAGCCCAAAGGATGAGTAATTGCTACAGCATCGGGATTTTCGGCACTGACTAACTTCTGATGTTTCCTTAGTGATATTTCTCCTTGTCCAGATGGCAGAAAATCAGCGCTGGGCTGTGGGAACTCCAGCACCGAGGTCTCTCCAGGCGGAAAGTCGAGAGCAAATCCCCGAACGCCAGAGAGAACCTGACCCCCTTCCCACGCACGTTCAGAGCCTCAGCACCTTGCTGCTCACTTAAAAAGCTCCAGAAAGCGGTGACTGCACAGGGCAGGAATTATCTGCACTTAATTCGTTTTACAGCAGTCT